TATCTTATTCTAGTAGTTTCATCCTTTGTAAGTTCTGAAATATTTCATCTTAATAAATATCTTAAGATGAGAATGAATCAAAGCCAATAACACCATTTTCTTACATGGAGTTTAGTTCCGATTGATCACAAAATTGGGGCAAAACATGACAAACTTCATTTTAATAATACCAATATTCTTTGTAATTAAGCACAAAGCTACACAAAGGCTTATCTGTGCTCTGCCCACCACGAGTATCGGAACCCGGATGCTAGCGTTGTAAGTCCGCAGACATACCGCTGTGCCACTGGAGGCTTCTCTTTCTTATCGGTTTTTTCTACCAGGTATTTATAAGAAAGGGTTTATCATTTCACTCATACCGGTGTTATCTTTCTTATTAGTTATTTCTACCAGGTATGTATAAGAAAAGGTTTATCATTTCACTCATACCGGTGTTATATTTCTTATCAGTTGTTTCTACCAGGTATTTATAAGAAAGGGTTTATCATTTCACTCATACCGGTGTTATCTTTCCTATCATTTCTTTTCATCAGGTGTTTATAAGAGAAAATGAATAAAAAAAACGGAATAAGGCACTTTAAAATCGCCTCTAATTAAAAGTAAAAATGAATATCGTGCCAAATGTTGCTTTAGGTGTTTCATTCGAAATTAACCAGAAGGAAACGAATTCATCAGAACTCTGTAAGCCTTTGTGCCATCTGTTACTATACATATATACAAAAGGCATTTTCTGACATTATCATTCTTCTCATTAAATTGAAACCACGCTAGAGTTTTAAATCATACGGTTGGTGACGTCAATAAATCTAATTCTTGTCACTTCACATCCAGCGCTTTCAGCACTGCAATTGTATTTGGAATCTCGGCTTATGTCAAAGCTAATTTCTAAACCTGAAGGATAAAATATACAGAAAATAATATGCTTCTGGAAATCTTGCTAACAAGAATATATGTATCTTTTTAGTTTCAGATTTTCTAAAATGAATCTAAGATGATGGAAATTGAATTATATTGGCCAGCCAAAAACCTGGTGTTAAATATTTCAATCTACTAAGATACGAATCCTCCAATCACAAACCTTGTATTAAATATTTCAATCTACTAAGATACGAATCCTCCAATCACAAACCTTGTATTGAATATTTCAAT